TGCTATTCGCCATCATTCACCGGCGCAGCAGACGTTAGCTGCGCCACTGTCAATCTCAGCAACCACGAACGCAGGTGTCAATGGTTCACTGTCGCCATCGCCAGCTGTTGAGTCACCTGCTCCTTCCCCCTCGACGGTACCCATCAAGCTTGACATTGAGAGGTCGCCGGCGGCAACTCCTTCGTCTCTTGTATCGAGTCGTGATCATTCACGCTCTCCCGGTGTCTGTATAGTCACTACACTCAAAGAGAGGTGCCGAGGCGTTCGGCACCCTTGGTACCAAAACGCTCTTTCAGCACTGAGGCTCTTCGCAAGAGTGAAAAGTGTTGAGCCTCCTGTACCTCGTCATGCGATAACGGTACGATCACCTTCCCGCCACCACAGCTTGCTGCACCCTTTTGAGGCACCACCAGCTTCTCCTCGTTCTGCATCTGCTACGCCAACTCCGACCCGTGTAACCACCACGTCCCCGCCAGCGAACGGTATTCAACGCTCGCCGTCACCACCACTAGTGGCTCCTTCAGTCCACAGTCGTTCGCCAACGCCTACACCCATTTTGAACGGACATTCACCTTCTGCTTCACCTGAGGATCTCGCCTATCCTCATACCACCGATTTACTTTCCAAGGAGATCAAGCATGAGCTCATGGATGTCGATGAAGCCCCGCAGCTTTCTTCCCCACTGACAGAGCTTGTCGACATCGAGCAACACCTCGGAGAGGAAGATGAAGTGCGGACCTCACCACTGTCTCCAGAACCGGTTGCAGACGAAGACGAAAGGAGCTCACCGCCGTCACCTCCGCCTGTCGAGGATGTCCAAGAGGATAGCATGGTGGTAGACGATACTAAGACACAACAGGATGAGATGGTCGTTGACACACCTGTCTCTTGTATGGTAGAGAAACTCGAGCCCTCCATGATACATCATATCACATCCCCTACAACACAAATTGAAGCGGCAACGGATTTGGAACATCAGCCACAACCTGTACCTGCGGCAATAGCCCCAGTGGTTTCAAGCTTATCGTCACCTCCCGTAACGCCAGCTTCATCGCCACCGCCCTCCGTTCCTGTAGTTCCTTCCGAGCCTACTCCACCTCCTCAGACGCCTACACTCCCCTCTACAGCACCTTCGAAAGTGAAAATGTCACTCAAAGACTTTGCTGCTCGCCGAAAGCAGATGCAACAGAAGGAGGCCGCGCAGCAGGAGGAGGAAACTCGCAAACTGGAAGAGCAAGCAAAGAAGGTCAAGGAGGGAGAGGAGCTAAAACGGCTCCAGGAAGAGGCTAAGATTCGAGAGCGAGAGAGGCTCAGGCTTGAAATGCAACAAAAAGAAGCGGAGGATAGAAGGTTACGCGAAGAGGCAAGGGCAAGAGAAGAGGCAAGGTTAAAGGAAGAAGCTAGGTTGAGGGAGGAGACTAGGCTGAGAGAGGAAGCCAGGAGGAAGGAGGAGGAAAGATTGAAAGAAGAGGCCCGGGTAAGAGAGATGAGGTTGAGGGAAGAGGCGAAATTCAGAGAAGAAGCAAAGGAGAGGGAAGAGATGAGGTTGAAGGACGAGGCAAGAGACGAAGCCAAGTTAAAGGAGGCGGCAAAGGCGCAGGAAAAGGCCAAACTTGGAGAGATGGAAAAGCAGTCCAATGGTCATCTATCCCCAGCTTCCCCGATTCAGCCTGTCTCGTCATCATTCTCGCCATCTACGCAAGCAGCGTCTGTTTCCTCCGCGCCTTTATCTTTAGCATCGGTACTTACACTCTCTTCATCGACCAATAAACCAACTCCGGTAATCGATGTGCCTTTGGAAACACCCCAATCCCCTTCCGCCTTATCCCCGATAGCACCATCGGCTTCAGTATCCTCCAGACCTTCTACACCCAAACTTAATGGGTCAATCCATACCCTGCGACCGCCCTCTCCGATGCAAGAAGACGGCGAAATTGACGAGACGCCCACGCCAACACCTACGCCGACCCCGCCACAGAAGCAGCCTTGTCGATTGCCTGTCAAATCAAATCCAGTTCCACCTCCGAGCACATCTTCTGATACTCGCGCGCCGCCAACACAACCACGTTCCTTCCTCGCAGGACGAACACCTCCCAAGGGGCCAAGGGCACTGATGGGCGGGGGTGGTTTCCGTCGAAGCTGGGATAGAGACAGAGAGCGGGATAGAGACGGAGGCAGGGAATGGGATAGAGATCGTGACCGAAACTGGAGGCGAGATTGGCGTTGATGACTCGTGTATTTCACTGTATTGTTATTCCTTTCGATTTCTTTTTGGGATTGAGACTCTTTTGTGTTTACTTATGTGTTATTATTCGTGTTTAAACTGCAGTATGATATGTCGGTATGGAATAATACAATATACCACGACTAAATTTCTGAGATAAATAATCGATAAGCGCTCAGAGTCACCTATCGACGTCTGACAACGGCTATTGCCGAATGCCCCTTGAATCCGAACTACGACCACGAACAGGCCATGCGGAATACCATGCGTCGACGCTGCGAGAAAATGAATCCTGATGACATGGAAGGAACCTTACCCGCTGGACCTTTTAAGCACAGGAAACTTGGTTCTGAGAATGGGAAGTCGGGTGCGTGTATACTATATTGCCCATTTTAACGGTTGTGCTGACTGGCAGAGGCAAAAGTCCGGAAGCGAACAACTCGAGGAAAGCTACATAAACTCGTTATCATGCCACTGGATATCCTCTATATGGTGCGCTGTGACGGCATTTTTGGCACCCATTGTCGATACTCAGTAACAGAGCGGTAGATTTACGACGGACTAAATCCCCGCACCTTTGTCGCCCTACTTTACATCAACAGAGCTTTTCGGGATATGATTTCTTCCTCTCGGGGTATATCGATTTGGATTGCAAAGCGAAAAGAATGCTTGATCCCCGAGCCGCTCCCCGGTCTGTCGGAATTGGAATGGGCGATCCTGCTACTTGGACAGCCAATCTGCCAGGTTAGTGTCAGCTCTATCTGGGATACCACGGCCTTTGTGACGCACTCCAGGTTTGTGCATCGAAATCTCGTACGGCGCAGCGAAATTGGACATTGCAACAGTGGATATGTGAGGCATGCTGTGTTAACAAGTTCGTCCCCATTTTCCTCTGTTCGAATAGCGTGGGTTCATCAAATTTTGTTAGGGAAATTACCTTTGGCGACATCCAAAACAAGTATGCAAATGGGATAACCATCCTCTCAAAGAATAATACAGACCTTGCCGAGATCGCTATCCAATTCGACTGGTGGCGCTGTATGTTCCACATAATCTCTTTTCCATGCATATCTTCACTCGTTTCGATAGCTCTTTCGACATGGACCTACGATCGTTTCTCTTCCCTGAAGATCTCTGTCATCATGACGGAAGTTGTCGATCGCGGAAATTCTGGAATACTGGGCACGTTTCTAGAGCAACGGAAACAAGAAACAACGGTCCTGAGAAATGTAAGTGGTTCTTATTCACGCTCATTGACCACTTCTAATCATCCGACCGGACAGCGCATTCGAAACGGTATTGACTGGATCACAGACGAGGCAACGCCACTGCTCACGAGCTTCGTATCACCAGAGTCCAAGCGTAAGTTTCCGAATCTGTCGCTTTGTGTTCCGATGGATAATTGTAATGTTCATTTTCAGGATTGCAAAACGTATCGGGGCTCTATGATATCCTCAGGATGAAGCATTGTCCGTCGCCAACAATTTCCGTGAAAGTAAAGCGCTTAGTTCCCGAGGTATCGTATTCTATACTTCTTCATCGACATTTCCGTACTGCTTTTCTTAGAATGGAGGGAACTTAGGCCCAGAGTACTCGATAATCTACTTGACTTGCGGCGCAAGCATGTTATAGAGGACTCGCCGTTATTTTGCGCACGTCGCCAACTCGTTTTTCAAGCCTACCTGAAATACAAGCACACCCTGCTACCCCCGAAATGGCTCGCGCTTCCCAGCTACGAAGCGATATGCCTTTTTCAGCCTATCACTGAGAAACTTGTTGCATTGGAATCCGTTCGACTCACAGAGGATGACTTCACGGAACCGATTGTACGCATTCAAAGTCAAGTTCAGGAATGGATTTGCGATCAACGACGCAAGCTTACATTGGAAGCATCTAATAAAACTAATGCTCTCTTTGACACACTCCACAAAGTACACGGAATCTATGCTCCCGAAACACCTATCGAAGATATTTTCCCAGGAATTCACGAGTTCGACCTCAGTAAAGAAAGTTACTGTAACCTTGCTATCGCGCAGATCGTCTGTAAACAATGCACCCATCGACGTGTGTGTACTACAACCAATGTCGCATTTAGACACTTGAATTGTGTCTCTTCCCGTTGCGAGACGCACTCTACATTGGTGGGTACAGATTCCAGACGCTCGCATGCATTTACAGTAGAGTTCTCGGATACGGCTGTCCTTCTCGTTCACCTCTCTGGTCTTGATATAAGGGAAGCCACCGCTGATGAAATGGACGAAAGAGGGGATTTTTTCAGATGTCTTACTTGTGCAGAGGGTAACGTAGAGCTAGAGAAGAGGTGGTGCATATGGACCTGGAGAGAATGTGTAGGAGCTATTCTTATTCTATTTAGTTATGACTAAGACTTCTTGTTAGGTGAAGTATCATGATCTCAATAAGCATCCGACTGGTCCTAGGTTCGAGATACTGGAAGGTGAAGACATCCGAGAGGATAACAGGAAATGCTGGACATGCTGTCGATGTAATGCTCACATTGAGTCGCTGGCAACCAGACGGGAGGTAAAAGGACATTTGTTGCACGAGTACGTGGCTCATCTCTTCGCACGTCAAACAAGTACTGAACATGATTTCAGGCATGGAATAATGAACGCGAATATTCCTTCGGACTTTGCATATGGCGGGAGATATTGATATTTACTAGTACTTAATCGCCACTTGTCTTTTCATGTACCTCTTACTGATTTCGCCCTCTCTTTTTGTAATACAATGCAAGACTACATTTCCATTCCCGATGGCTGGGATGGCCGAGTCGTTAAGGCGAGTGATTTGAATGTTCTGATCACTTGGTGTTTCACCGCGTAGGTTCAAATCCTGCTTCCAGCGTTTTGTTTACGTCTCGTCCGATCCGTGCGCCAAACTCCCATGTACTTATGTACATCGTTAAATCATCTCGTTGTGGTGGCCCAGCCGAGAAGCCGAGGGATTATTCTATTGAGAAACCCGGTTTCCGAAAGCAGCTATTTAGTAACCTGGTTTCTCGGCCGGCCGTGGCCTTTCACACCACTCTGGCAGCGCGTCGCCACTGCGCGTCTTGAATATTTGGATCTTCATGTTCATCGGCGCCTTTCTGTTTCATGGATGATGTATATTGCCCAACTCTCATCTTTGACATATCATGTGGAATCCAGTAGCCCGATCTGTAGCAGTCTCGAAACTTGTATTTACATGTGTACAACGTAGTAAAGCGATACCGTGAACCGTGACATGTATTCAGTAACTTCAATAACTTGAACTTGGATGTGCGGTGAACTGTGAATGTATAGAACAGAAAAAGAGATAGGAGGCATTCATGCACTTCCTATCTAGTGTAGTACAGCTATTGTCTGCTTTATACTTTCTTGTGTTTTATTTATAAAAATATATAAACTTGAAATGTTCTACTGCCAGTCCAATGTTATACTATTATCGTGCAACGTCTTCAACTCGGGAGTCGGGGCGCCATTTAAGTTGCGCATCTGTGGTCATCCAATATTTGAGAGACATTCTTTCACCGCCGATTACCACTTTTATTACAGTATGTTACTTGCAGTACGTGTTGCTTCGGTAAGCGCGCATACTTGCTGAGGATGCCAAACGTGTTTCCTGCCTTGACACGGGTGAAATAATGCCGTCTGTGGAATCTGACGAACATGATACGTCTACAAATCTGTAATCTCTGCCTAGTTCAGCGAACAAAGCGTCATTCATGGTTGGACGCTTGCAGACGCTCTTGAAGGGTTCACGGAGCGCCCGCCGGTGACCCGGCCTAGAATGGAAACCCAAATCACGTTTTGGGCGTGGGTTCCTCGGGAACCCTAGGGTTTCTGGCAGAAACCCGGTTTCTCAATAGAATAATCCGAAGCCGAGGGCTGTATGCGCGCGTGTTTGATGGGCGCTCTTGATGAATCAGTCATCTGCCATTGTGACGTGAAGATTGATGGAGATATTTACCTTAGTTATAAAAACGACGCTATCCATGCGGGGTGCCTCACCAAAACTATTGTGCAATGCACACTCCTCCAACCTCCCATATATCCACAATCCCTGCGGAGCTCCTTCAACATATCTTTGACCTTACCCCAGACACAGATTTCGGTGTCTTTAGTCTCGTCTGTCATGACTGGTTACAGATTGTCCGACTTCAGCAATTCTCTTATCTTACACTCCGTTTCGGACAGACGGAAGCGCGCGGTTCCCATTCCAACCTTACGAAATCAGAAGCATTCTCTGATCCTCGTGTTATCAGTTGCTGCGATCATTTACAAAGCATTCTCGGTCCTGACGCGCCCGCTTCCACAACTATACCCTGGCCTCACATTGCCCGATTCACACTCTTGGTCAATCTCTCATTCCGATCCGTCTCCGTGGTCAGTCGCGTCCTTGAAGATGTCCATGCGACAATTGTATATTTGACCAGTCACGCCCAAGTCGATCCCGGAATCTTTGACACTCGACGTGACTGGTGCTGATGCACAGATAATGCATTCATCTCACCTTCGAGATACCATTCATTCATCCTTCCCTCTCATCACACGTCTACATCTTGCACTCCGGCAGGAGCATTTTGCAGATGTATTCTCATTCATCCCATTATTCCAAAAATTGGGGGCGTTGGAGTTGTCTTGCAACACGTTATTCCATTCGACGATCACCCAAAGGATGTTTTCCGATACCATGCTGCCGAAGACATTGGAGACCGCACATATTAATATCCAGTCTTTAACGCAGCTAGAAGCGGCCTCTCCACAATGCCGAGATGAGCTGAATCCTTCAGCAGTGGAAAGAGATGCCTCAGTCGTAGAGGCTGCGCAGAATCTTTCGTTATATCAGGAGCCTTTGGGCAGACACCATTCCGTGGAAGGTTTAACGCATCTGGGAAACCATGTCAACCTTCGACATCTGTCCCTACTGAACTGCCATGACAAAGCCTTTGGAGACTCCCTCATTCACCTCGGAGACAGACTTGAGTCAGTTGCCATTGGCTTTCCCAATGACATGGAGCGCTTTAAGGCAATACAAAAGAAGGCTAAGCTACCCATCAGTATGTCATATTATTAATTTCATGCAGAATCAAATGTTTACTGATGTGTACCGTCCAGCGGAATGGGACTTAGCCAACCTCGACAATCTTCGCAGTGTCACCTTCTACATCCCCCAACTCTGGTATAGTCTCCCATATGTGCTGAGGATTATTGGCAGTACCTTGCAGACGTTGGATCCCTCTACCCGGTCAAGACTTGTCAAGATCACATTTATGGTTGGGCCAGAACCGCTCAAGAGGGTCAACTGTTGGCATGAGCTGGACATGCTGCTTGTCTCAGCTTGTAGAGCTCAGATCATAGTCGACATTCCATCTATGGGAAGCATGTGGAATTCTTACCTTGTCGCGAAGGCAGAGCGTATTCTCCCTGGTGTTCACAATGCCGGGAGGCTAAAGGTCCGAGTAATACGTCGACATGTCGATCATCCCCATCGAAACCTCGGATGAATGCATACGATGATGTGGATGACAATAAATATTGTGGCATTTCGTTGTGTTAAATAGTTGACCTTTATGATAGAGTATTATGGTAGCAATAGGTTGTAGTCGAGGACAGATAAAGTAAAACGTCGATTTTGAGCATCCCTGTATTAATGTTCGCCGAGGGCGAGTTTGCCAAATTCGCCAATAGCTATGGTTGATGATGATACACATTTGATTGGACTGCATCTCACATAGACGAGGCTCTCACCGCGACTCTCGAAATCCACACACTGCCCTTATACTTCCACCAGTACCCCAAAGCCCATGCATCATCTACTCATACACAATGATCAACAGGGTGAAGGACCGTCGAGAAAAAGAGCATGATTAGGAAGCCGAAAGATTAATGATGGTGGTTCGATACCAAGACCGTGTGATAATGCAGAGATTCCAAGGATACCACGCTTTGGGGATTCGCGTTGGCGCTCCTAGCTAGCTGTATCACTGTGATAACATCCGCGCTCCTTACAAACGTGTGTTGTGATGGATATGATGTCCCACGTTGTGAAGCATAACATGTGCCCGTAACTCAGTGGTAGAGTGTGAGATTGCAATAGCGGTTTGTAATATCTTGAAGCCGCGTGTTCGAACCACGCCGGCACTTTCGCTGTTTTTAGAGGTTATCTGTAGCCACCTGGCACCAACTCCCTTTCCCTGACCCAGAGGCCCAAGTCGCTTCGAATTCACACTGGGGGCAAGAAAGCATAAGTCTCGGGACTTTTTCGAAGACCTATGCTATACTTACTCGAGTTTTTGGACCTTATGTATGACTTATGCTTAGACCTTTCATAGGTTTTGCGTAAGTCTAGCATAAAGAACCCAGACTTATGCGAATTTGTCCCCAGTGTCAGTATTTGTCGTTCTCAGCGTCACCATTCAAATGTCATGCCCTGGTGGAGTAGGTGGAGTATAACCACGTGGCCTACGTCATTCATTGATGCTTCTTCAGTCTGCACCTCCATAATCTATCTGCCGAGGTGATCCTCTTGACGAGCATTTTTGATGGATGTCGCTGATTGACCGCCTCCCCTACTCCCCTGTTTTCAATCATGACTCTCAAACGAAGACCTACAAGGTTTCGAGTGGGAACTAGCAGCATCAGCCATAAGTACTACTTTATTCACCGCAAGGCTTTTACTGAATATCATATGAGAACATACAGTACAGCAGCCGATTTGTTTTTACCGAATCCCGCTGGGTCTACCAGACCGGACAGCGGTCGCGAATCGCTCCGATCGAAGACGATGTCTGTGTTCACGCCAATGTCCTTGAAGATTAATGCATTTCGACTGAAAAAGGCCTAATTTGGACATTTACGAAATCGTTATCATGCTACGTTTCTGATACCGTGACCAGCTAGCTATTTGTTTCCCTCACAAATAAAGGTGTGGATCGGGAGCCGCTCTATTCTGAAATCGTCTTCCCAGAATCAATCTTTGAGAACCTCCGAGTTTCATCTTTACAAGACCCTGATCCCGTTTCAGATTCAGCGTCTAACACATAGAATTGAAAGGTTCTCATAAATGAGAACGAACATCCTCCTGATGTAATTTCTTTTTTGTTTGATCCCCTGGCACACTCCTTGGCTTCAACGTCTTCTCCATGACTATACCTTGGTATGTCACAGTCAGCTCCCTCTGCTCCTTGTCCAGGACTAACCGCAAAATCAAAGCCCGTCCGCTCTTTGTTTCATAATCACGCTCATTCCCCTCGCCAGCTCTTTAACCTTCAACACACCTACTACCGTCAAACTTGACAGTCGCTCCTCTGGCACATATGCATACAAGGCAAGCGATCCTGAGTCCTTCACCCTTGTCCTTCACTCTGCCAGTGGGACGCAAGATGAAGTCTTAGCACGGGTTAACCAAATGTCTTCCGGGTTTCCTCCGGATTTTGAGTTCTCAGACCGCTCATTTACTTTTGCCTGTGGCTCCACTGGGTGCGTATATATACTTATTTTGATTATGTTCAATCAACTTTCGCCACAGAGTTTACCAGATCCTCGCTGTTAGCGACGATGATTCGAGGTCTGCTCGCAATTTCTGTCTCTTGACATTATCTGAACTCGGCCGATCAGTGTTTTCGCAAGAAGTAACGACATCAACGCAGGGTCTGTGTCGCAAATTTCAACAGTATCGTCGCTCCCCCCCCAGGACTCCCATGAAAAGGCGGCAACACTTTCTTCAACTTCAACTTCAACTTCAACCTCTTCGTCAGTCTCCGCTATAAGTCTACTCCTGCATAGGAATCTCACGAATGAATTAGGTCAAGCACTCCCACTTCCTTGGTGACCGCAGCGAGTACAATGGACAAGAACTCGGAAAGTTTTACAAACAACATAAACAATGTGTAAGAGGATGTCTACGCTTATACAGCATACCTTATTGAATGGTTTCTTCAGGCAAAGTGATGACAGGTCAGTCTGATGGTTGCCATTCATTACCTCTGTAATTAACTGTAATAACCACCTCGAATAGATCTGCTAGCACCGTAAACTTGAAACTGAGTGCGGCTACCTCCATGTCTAGGTATGGGTTCAAAGCGATCATCTCTTAAACTTTGACCTTCGGTATAACTAAAGACATGTGATTATCCAGCTCACTCTCGGAGTACGTGCATGGTGCCCACTTTTTCAAGCAGGCGGCTGATGCAACTTGTATTGATAGTTTGACAAGCCTTACAGGTTCGACGTCGGGATTAGAATCGGATGTCAAAAGCAGTCAATTCTCAACCCTTATCGTGTCCTTTACTACCTCAATCACCTCAAGTCCATCGTGCGTCTCAATCATACTGACATACCTAACGCATTGACATGAACATAAGGCGGGGCCCTAGGGCGGAAGTTGCAACCCACAAAGCAAGGTAATTATTTTACCTGTACTCTACACTAAGGAAAGCGCAATTATATGACATTGGCAGGCCACACCTCGCTCTCATTCTCGGTATTACGAGCGGTGTAGTGTTTCTCTTTGCGTGCATCATTTTTCTTCTTTGGTATCGTCGTAAGCGAGCAAGCGGTGTGTAGTTCCATTATTTACGGGTTGATCCATGAACTGACCACCAGCAGGTTCAAACGAGCTAACGCCTTACGAGAACAGCAGTGCCACGTCTGCTGCTCCGGTACAAAAAGGCGTGGCTACAGACAATAGTCTAAAATCAGAAGCGGAGCAGGAGCAGGAAATCCAGTGTCCCGGCCTACAGTGTAATGCCGCCTTCAGAGAGTCTTCCTGAATATTGCACACCAGCCTCGACCTTCGGACCACCTCCGAAATACACAAATATACCTAGGACTAGCCCTCGGAGTGATTCAGTGTATAGGAATGTAGCGTCTACATTTTTGCTATATGTATGCTAATTGAATCGATGGGACTTGCTGTAGGAGTTTGGTAATCTACGAGAATACCTGATCGATCCTACAATGCTTTCATATCCAGGTGGCAAATCTGTGTCTGTTTCAGGTGTGGAGGGATTTTGTGATATTCCTCGAGACTTGTATGATATAGGGCTTGAAATAAACTCTGATTCACGCGCAGTTGTGGTAAATGGCGTGATGCTACGTGTCGTAACTATGAATTCTCAGTAGGAACCTATGGGCAAAACGAAGATAATACACACTTTTGGGTGAGTTTTTTCTGCCGTTTTCGGTGCCGATAACACAAGAATGCCGTGATGAGAATGGCAACCACTAAACCAAGAGTGATACCAACTATTAACGCTGTATTGACGCTGACAACCATGTATCAAACGCATCAGCGCCCGGAATGATGAAGGAAGCTTACCTCGGCGCGGCGCCATTCTGTTGACTGGGTGAGGTTGGCCTTCATTGATTGTGAGAAAGACCATCAAGTTGGGGAATGATTGGACTTACGAGGGTTCCGATGGTGGTAGTAGAACCGTTAGTTCCGCCTAGTAATTGTGACGATGGTTGTTCCGGAAATGGGCAGTGCACTAGAAGTGGAAAGCCATTGATCAACGTACGTATGATTCTGACGGAATGCTCACCTCCCGCTAGTGCTAATTCTGAACGACGTGGGTTATAATAATATTTTGTCCGTAGGACGGTTAGCACTCACAGCACTGTCACAGAACTCGCTGTCGTGGAGAGCTGAGAGCTGTCGAATTCAGCTGAGCGTCTACCGTTTGGATGACTTACGGAATAGAATTACCGACCTGTTTTGATCATTTTGCCTGATGGGAGTTGTCAATGTCATACCTATATAATGGACAGATATGCAAGTACGAACCCGCTGGTACTGCCATTGTTGGTAGAGCTGGGGTTAGAGCCATCAGCCGACGTTGGGCTTCCTTGGGCACTGGTGATAGATGCAGTTGTACTGCTGAATTTGTTCATTAATACAAGGCGTGAAAGATATAAGTATCACTTACGAAGCTGATGGAGACGATATAGGGGCAGGGCGTGCGGCAGAAACTCGCTTGAAAGCCGTTGATCCGTCAGTGGCCACTATGTCGCTGCTTCTTGCGAAAGTCACATCAGAACTAAAAGGATTTCTAAGTCATTATTGTAAGGCACAATTGAAGAATTGCGGCATACCTTGTATCGACAACGTCGATCCAATAGGCACTACATGCAAGTTAGGCTTGTAGTACTACTCGATAAACTGAAGGGCTTGCCCTGCGGTATTGCATACGAACGTAAATGCATCTCCTTCGCCCGCCGAGTTTACGACGGAGAGCTCCTTCTCGTCTACATTTGGATCCTCTGACCAAAGGACGAATTTGAAAGGACTGTGGGTCACTATTGCTTTTATGCCACGATGCAGTTGTGGAGGTCTGCACCCCGGTACTGCTCGGAATGTTGATTTCAAAAGAATGAACAAGTCGGAAAGCAAGGAGAACAAAAAAGCTTTATCTGTGTCAGGAACAATCTATCAGGAGCGTCGGCATACTTACGTTATTATCATGAGTATGGAGTGTTATTATGGGATGAGGAGAGTGATGAAAAGGGAAGACTGTCGACGTCCAAGGGAATGAAGCCAGATTCGAATATCACCATGTCTTTATATTCATGAAATATACTGAGGCCATATAAGCATAAATTGCTATACTGACCTGCATTATAAATGATTGAACTGTCATGGTTGATCATTCATGATACAGATTGAGTTGAAGCTGCAAACACGGCAGGAACTTTAAGCGCTGGTGCAAAGTGTATTCTGAATGAGCGTCTATCGGATACAATCTTGCCCTATAACAACGGGGTGTCAATCAGCATATCTTGACGTAGCGAGATGCAGTACTGAGTGTGGCAGCTTTGTGCAATTAAAAACACAACTTACTGCCGTTGGTACTGGCAAAGGTAGTTGACGGGGCTTGACGGGTGCAATCTGATGGTGCCACTTACATTCTGGCAGGGTGGAGTGGAGACAGATTCGAACTATGAAATTGCCCCGGGAGTGGAAGTTGTGGTAGCCGCGCCTTTCTTCGTGCCTGGAGCTGATTTACTGTCACCCTCAGGTGATGTGACGTTTGGCGTTATGGTATCAGACAAGTTCTCGCCTCTCTAAGTGATCAAAGAGCAACGCGAAGTGGCAAGCGAATAGCCATTTAATGATGAGTGAGAAAAACTTGAGCATATGCTCAGCT